AGTCAAGCTGTCTACTTTGGTAGATAGGGGGAGGGTACTGCTGTTTGTCGTAAATCGGCTCGGCAATAATGCAATCTAATCACCACCATCAGCAGATGAGACATCATAACTTTATGGTTGTTACCCCCCCCCCCCTTCCCCCACCACCACCATCAACAGATGAGACATCATAACTTCATGGTTGTTATCCCCCCCCCCTTCCCCTACCACCACCATCAACAGATGAGACATCATAACTTCATGGTTGTTATTCCCCCCCCCCTCTCCCCCACCAATTCTGTTTGCTAAATAAATACCAGGATATTACAGCTCTATAGTGTCCTATGGAGAATCATAATTATTACCAGCAAAGCATCGATCTTTGTTTAAAAGGGTCATAAATTCAGTACCCAATTACATTCGACTTCTCCCACCTGTCGTCTTTCACACAGTCGCTTTAAAACAGTATTATTATTGCATGTCTTCTTCTTTTTTTTTCTAGATTCTGTTCTGCTTTTGACTTTTGGGTCTTGTAGAGGAAGGGCGGCTTCGGTATATGCTACGCAGATGCTAGTCTTCAGAACCTCAGATATTCCGTCTATCTATCAAAGTCTTGACACATGTCCTAACCATTTATTGTGTTGCGTTGCGGCATCTTTAAAGGGTCGTTGCTGGAGCTACGCAATTCTTGTTTTGTTCAACAGCTTTGTGAGCGACCATCCACTGTGCGGAGAGAGACCTAGTCATATGCGATAAAATTCGATGTAGCGAAGACAATCCTTTCATGCAGTTCTTGTTTAGTTCAAGCGTTTCGTGAGCGACCATCCACTGTGTGGAGAGGAACCTAGTCATATGCGATACTACAATTCGGCGTAGCGAAGTCGCTCCTCTCACCTTTAGACACTTTTTTTTCTTTCTCGACAGGTGTAACCCCTATTTGCTATTTTAATTAGCTCACTGTCAGTATGAGAGAGGTCCCCCATATTTTCTAAGTTCCTTAACTCCTCGCTGTCAGTTAGACAGAGGTCACCCCTATTTTCTGTTCCATCATCTATCACAGGTCATAACACTCTATTTGCGCTGTTTCACGGACCAGTGTACGGGCAGAAATTTCCAACAGTAGGCATGCGTTTTGATCAGCGAGCGTTATGAATTTGATAAATGATATTAATTATATAACAGTGCGTTTTCTCAAAATATAGAATCAAACAATCAAGGGGCGTTTCCACAATGAAGGTTCCCTCCAATCGTTGTACATTCTCTCAAACTGCTGCCTATCCATCTCTTGGTATTGTCCTCCCGCTTGTATCGTTGCCTGCCTCTTGCTCTCCTGCCAACGAAATTTCCCTCCAGTATGGTTTTTAAATGTATGTTATGTCTTTTAATGTGGCTAAAGTATTTCACTTGTCTCTTTTTTATTTATTTCAGTAATTATCCTTCCATGTGTGGCCTTTCCAGACCTATTCGTCTGTATACCCACATCTTCACAGACTCAGTTTGATTTTCTAGTTCATTATCCAAGTTCTGCACCATTTAGCAGGACTGAGTATATATAACATTTGACCATTCCTATTGTAAGTATGTTGTTTATCTCTATAGATGGCAGTAACTTGTGCATCTTAATGAAGACAGTTTTAGCCATTCCTATTTTCTTATTGATTTCTGTTTTGCTTCTGCCATCATCTGTAAATAGGTGTCCTAGATAAGAAAAAAAAACTTGTTACTTAACAGCTCTCCGCTTACTGTGATGTTCACTATTGGCCGCTCTTTCAAATTGTTAATTACCATAGTTTTTGTTTTTAGAATCTTAATGTCTAAACTATTAATGAAGAAACATATTTATTTGTTAGTTATTATATGTTGTGGAGCAGTCAATATCACTTGCTAATAAGTATTCATATCCGTTAAATGTAAACGAGCCTAATAGTTTTCCATTGTTCCTGTATTATCATAGGCCTATTGTCATAAATTCGATTTCTTCTTCTTCTTTTTCTTCTTCTTCTTCTTCTTCTTCTTCTTCTTCTTCTTCTTCTTCTTCTTCTTCTTCTTCTTCTTCTTCTTCTTCTTCTTCTTCTTCTTCTTCTTCTTCTTCTTCTTCTTCTTCTTCTTCTTCTTCTTCTTCTTCTTCTTCTTCTTCTTCTTCTTCTTCTTTTTCTTCTTCTTCTTCTTCTTCTTCTTCTTCTTCTTAGTCTTCGTCGAACTTGTAGTTGCTTTTTCTTCTTCTTCTTCTTACTGTCTTTCCTCTTCCTCCTGTCTTCCTCGTCCTTCTTCTTTTTCATTCTTCTTCTACTTCTTCTTCTTCTTCTTCTTCTTCTTATTCTTCTTCTTCTCCCTCTTCGTCTTCTTCTTCTAATTTTTTGTCCGTTTTTTTTAACGCTTTCATGAATAAGCAGCTGTTACATAAATCATGTGAATTTCAAATGGTTAAGCATTTAAGTAATAAACACTTAGGATACAGAAGTCTCTGATAAATGGCGTAGCATTACAGTATCTTCGGAAACACCAAGGAAGCTGTTTGGCGCTGAACGAGTTAATAGGGCGGTGTTTATTTATCCGATCTAAAATATTTACTACTTGCAGCGTTTACATCCTGTACATGTTCTGCCTGCATTGTCCGTATGAAAGAATAAAATGGTTTGGTCATCTAATGAGAATGACAACAACGATGCCAGCAACGTAAGCGTACAACATGAAAATCGATACATCAAGAGGCAGGGGAAGACTGAGAGTATATGGACTAAAGGAGTCACTGACACCTTGAGACTGCATCACATCACAGCATATCAAGCGACTGAGCTCGCCCTGGCTCGGCTGCCGATAGTCATCTGCATCATATGCAGATAATGACAAAACAAAAAAATGAAGGAAAATTGTCCTTTTGAGCTCCCAGCAACTTTCACAGAACATTCAACAGTCACAAGATGACGGGATCAGATGTGCTCGTCGTATGTCATGAGTTATCTTAAATTGTCATTTTATAATAGCTAGAAACACTAAGAATATTAGAAAGAGAGATCAACGAAGCAAGAAACAGCGTTAGCGGTAGAGTTTTTCTACTGTCAATATGACGGGGTCAAACTGCCCTTTAATAACAACTGAAAACATAAAAAATATCAGAAAGAAAGATCAACAGAGGAAGACAGTTCATAGTTACAGAATACAGGTGCCACTGTTTGAGGACTATCGTATGTGGTTTCCTGCGTGACACAAGATATTTTGGGTCTTTCATGGTTAGGAAGGTATGATAAACACTTTTGTCAAGTCTAACTTGGTCAAAGTTACCGAATATGATAATGACTATTGATACTTTTAGTCGATTTATCATGGCTAAGCATGCTTTTGGTCGAAGTTTTTCTGTAGGATAATGGCAGTGGGTTTCCTTGGGCGAAATCAGCCCACATGTCAGTGACTAACGATCTGTCTACAAAATCATTGGATGAAACTCTTACTCCAGAGGGAATTAACAGCGCACAAATTTACTAGCCTGTTTCATTTCGCTGAAGATTTAAGACTAGATTGTGTACCATAGAATATATTACTAACTGTTGGGTACTAGAATTTACTGGATTCACTTTCTCCGTGATGCTCTCCCAAATTGATGAAAGACACGCTAGGGACCTTACATATCCACCAGGCTTGCATGTGTGACAATGGTGATCTTGAACAATCTTTAGAAAAGTTCTGTGGATATCATGACCAGGAATCTATGCGATTCTTCGAGAATGTTTTCATTCTCAAAGTAGTCATTACTACAAGACATATGTCAATCACTTGAGTGTAGTTATGCTAACAGGAAAATTGAGAGTTGCTTGATTTTTTTTTTTAATGAGTGCAAACCACTTTTACTTTCAGTACTCTGATATTGAGTTTAGTTGTATTTTCTTACTGATATTTTTTCAACAAGTTCTTTGGTACTCCTGTTAAATTTACTATGGTTTTTTTATAGGCCTTTTTTACTATTTTCCTTACGTCCTTTTTAGGACGTAATTTTTTTTTATTTGAAGCCCCACTATGGCTTTTGCAAGGGGCCGCAATATAGGCAGGCCATCAATATGGCCAATTGTCTGAACGCGGTTTCTGGGACCTCTCCACGGTGATCCTCACCCACATGGTGGCACTTTGTGTCATCGGGTGTTTATCGCTTGTGTGATGTCCTGGTGGGGTAGAAAGTCAGTCAGTCATTCAGTCAGTCTATATAGGCCTTTCCCGTGTCGGTTCCGGGACCCCACCGATGGACGAAGGTGGGTGGGGGGGGGGGGAGAGGGACCCGCTGTCCAGTACAATGATGTAAAAAGGCGATTACTTACTTGTTTGCTAAAATCTTATGTGCTGGGTCTGAAAAACACACAGATATTGCAGCCTAGCTGTAAACCATAACACAATGTACCAAACACCTCTAAAGGGTACACACAAAACATATGATTATTTTAATTGTTTGAGACTCACATGTCGGCGTCTGTGGCTCAGGCGTTGCGACGCGCTTCGTAATGCCGGGGTGGCGAGTTTGATCCCAGCTGCAAACGATTTGTCTTGCGTTAGTTTCGACATGGTACCGACAGCTGACCGTTTAGTGGCAGTGGCAAACTACTGAACGCAAAATTGTCTAGAAAAACCACAACAGCCAAAAAAATGCAGGAGCTGGTTCTGCATTGTCTTATAAAGGATACGTTTCTTCTTCTACTGCTTATTCTTCTTCTCTTCCACTTGTATCTCAGTGATATGGTGGGAGAGTGGGGGGATGGGGGGGGGAAGGATGAAAGGTTCGTTGATGAGCCCTGTCAACTATTATGATTGATGTTCATTTCTGTAATGCTGTTCCTAATGCCATCACTCCATATTTTCCGAGGTCTTCCGCTCGCTCTATACCCGTTGTAACTCGTGATGTTCATCACAGCACCCACCAAGTTCCAACTGATCTACAAAAACATGGGACCATCACTATATGTCCAATAAGACACCAGACATAAAATGTACACTTTGAATTTCATCTCTATCATCGTTTTATATGTTTGATGTTTTAGGTGTCCTGGAATAAAGTTGGCCGCGAGCATTTCTTGAGCATAGGAACTGAGATCTGGGTGCAGGATGCCAACCTCGAAATCGCCCATTACACGTGGCCAGCGGGGATCAGTGAATGGAACCTTGTTTTCAGAGAGGCGCGGTTCGAAGACAGTGGCCTTTACGATTGTCAGATCATCTCAACAGAAAAGTTGACATTCAGAGTGCGACTAACAGTCTCAGGTAAGTTATTGTTATAGTCAAGCGGTTCCTCTTTCTTCTTACAGTCCATGCCTGTAGCGTTGGTAGTCATGTCTATCCACAACCTTCTGTCTGCGTACTTTCAATCAACTTTGATACCGATGATCCTCCATGCCATGATGTCAAACAAACTGTCCATTATCTTTTCTCTCGTTCTCTCTCTGTCTCTCCTCCCCTCCAACTTTTCTACTGTCAGGATGTACTCCAGTTTTCTACTTCTCATCACATGACCAAAGAATGTAGATTGTCTCTTTCTGATGTGGGCAATCAGTTCCCTTCGTGAGTCAGTTTCTTTCAAGACACCATTATTCTTCAAATCTGTCAACGTATTGAAAGACTGGTGTACAGACAAGACTTTTCTTTGCAAAGTACTCACTTTCAAGACATCTTCTTTGCTTTTTTTAAAAAAATATTTCCAGTGTATTCTCATCATCGTCTATAAAACCACATCTCCGCATCTTCTAAATAATTTGTCACTTATCTACCAAGACATGATTTACTGCATATATCAGAATAGGATTTATATAGTTTTCAAGAATTTACTTTCTCGTCTCAATTGGCGAAGAAAGATTATATAAAATATTTTTCATTTTGTAAAATGCTGGCTCTGCTTGAGTTATTCTAGACTGAAATTCTTTAATAAATCTTCCATCTGATGTTATTTGGGTACCCAAGTATTTAAACATATCAACTTGCTTGAAGTTTATCCCGTTTACTTTGAAGCTACATTTTGGAAAGTCCGTTTTTTTTTCAAATACGAATACTTCGGTTCATCTGCTGTGTACTCACATGGTAGATTTAGTTTATAAAGTAAAGTAAAAGACTTCTCACGTCATTGTCACATATAGTGCTGGATCTGCATTTGTATACACTCGGTGTCCCCGTGTGGGTTCCGAGGCCCAATCGTTGGGAAAACAAGATTGGACGCACTGGCTTTCCAGCAAGCATATCGAAAGAATCGACTGATTGGGTGCTTCCTTCGAGGTGGGAGTGCATCTACGTGAGAGGCAAGGAACCAACACTTTGCCAAACCAAAAACTGTTTTCAGTACTCTTCGGGAAAGTAAAATAATCAAAATTTTAAAACTATAAATGGTGGCTGTCTGACATGGAGGAAAGAAGTATTAAGCCCAGAAACTTCGCAAATACCAGAACTTTAGCAACAAAAATGGCGCAAATAAAGAAGACTGTTGGCAGCTTCGGCTAGCAAGCAGCAGGTTAAACCTGGTTGATTTTTTGATTTTTTCTTAAAAGGAATTGGAATTGGAAACACTTTGCATAAAATAAGCAAGATCTGTAAAACGAATATACACGCAACATTCAGTTTTTGGGACAATACTTAAGTCCAGTGGTACTAATATCTAGTGGTACTAAAGTGCTGAGATACAAAAGTTCAGACTTATCAAAGTCCAGAGGTAGACGAACAGTCAGAACCTTACTTTGCAGTTTACAGCCGATGACTGCAAAGAAAAAGAAAAACGAAGAAACAAATCGGCACCATCATTTTCGAGGACATTAACTGACAGTCAATGTAAGCATTCTCTGTGGCACGTGGAACAGACTGGAACCTCATCTTACTAAAGACAGCAGCGGTACACTGTAAGCCAACCTTCATTTTGAAGACGGCACACCATTTGTTTAAGTTTTCTAGTAATCTTAGTGTCAGCTTCATAGCGAACGGGTCACCGCATAGTTGCTCCGCTCCTGTGCCAAGGAAATACACACAGAATGTTCACTACAGTCCCTTGTGGAAAGATTGACAGACTTCAGTATCAGCATATTTAATAGCCTACACACGCATTAGAAGCATACGGCAGCCATCCGAAGTGCCAACACAAACAGTCCGACATTAGATATGCAGTTCATCACGGGTGGTAGCAGAAGTCGCCAAGAAATCAGCAGTTGCACACGCGATCAATTTTAATCACACAATGGCAACACCAATATTGCGACAACTGGCATCGCATCATTTTCCGAATCTACAAATCACAAAACTACGCTGGTCACAGTCGAAAAACACTCCAAATGAAATCCGCAGCTTAGTGTCACGCCATGCACTCAATTCAGTAATGAAGGTTTCTAAAAGGTCACCCCAGTGGTGCCCTCATACTAGGGATTAGGCTAGGAGCGTAATGCCCATCAGCAAGCGTCGCCCCTGTACGACCTGACTGCTTTCGTTAACGATTGTGCACCCCACAAACATGCATGTTTAAGTTTTATTTTGGCTTGCTTGACTTGTAATCCAGTTTAGGTAAAGTAATATTAAATGAGGTGTTTAAAATTCTAGAGGGCAGACTTGTCGGTGTCGAGTTTTACCCCACATGGCTCAGTTTGTCTCAGCCAAGCAGCTTGTCGCTGAGTGCGTCGTTGAGAGCTCGAACTTCTCAGCTCCAGCGAGGAGCCGTAAGATTATCTGAAACACCTGAACATGCAAACTGTAAGTCAGTTTCCGGAATTGTACCAAAGACTTCGAACTTATTTTATTCAAACATAGACAGTCATGTCTGGATCTGAATGGGCTCAAATAATGACACTGTAGGACAAAGTCGGTTACAGTAAACATTTAGATGGAAAGCTCTCCTGTGGCTAGAGAACAAGATGTATATGCATATCGTAATTGTTAGAGACTCTGAAAGCATGCTGAGAAAGGTACAGACAGGGATGCTTCGAGCAGAGTGGCAAGCTTCACTGGAAAGGTCACGGGTAGTGAGCATACTTTGGATCTTTTCTCCAAGCCATGCCGGGCGTGGTGGGTAATGAACAGATTGGCTGGATCTGCACCACTGGGTGGTGAACTGATACATGACAAGTCAAATGTGGTCAAGGCTCTTTAGGAACAAGCAACGAATCAGTAGAGAGACAAGATTATTATGGCCTGGAGAGAATGAGACAACTGAGGGTAACCAGAAAGTCTGGCCGGCACACTACACTCAGAGGAAAGGCAAGACGGACATATAACCAGATTGTGACCTGTACCATCAGTATTGGAACTCTGCGCTGGCTGCTGATGATGAGGACGGAGCATGCATGGGAATGCCCTGAGTGCTTTGATGTCAATTCTTAACTCAACTCAACTTAGATGGAATGGTTTACTGTACTATCTGGACGATAAGTTAAAAAGAATGAATCATATAAAGAGTAAAAAGTAAACGCACAGTGAGTTGCTTGGTACCGTAAGAATTATTAATTTTAACTTTAAGACTAATGAGTATAACAATATTGTTTAAGTTAAACATCACTATATGAGTATAATTTAAAATGGTGATAGCAATAATATATTTCAGTGATACTGAAATCTGTCAATATAAAGTAATATCATTACCCAAATAATTACACTGAAATCTGTCAGTATAAAGTAATACACTTAACCAAATAATTACACTGAAAGCACAGTAGAGGTCATGGCGCCGGGAAACAAAGCGGACAAACCATACGAATTTGTTTTTTCCGCCGTTCATTTTAAGGCCAGTAAAGGACCTGCTACATGATTATGATGATATGCATAATCAATGATTTGACAGGCAGTAACAAGTGTGAATATACATTTTTTTAACAAAAGAACTGGTAAAGTAGTAATGGTAGAAGGTGCAAAGCGATGTGTGTTGAATTATTACCCAGAATATTTGTACGTTGGGGAGAATACAGAATTAACAAAAGAAACATGAAAATGCAGTCTATATTAAAAGAAGAAATCGGTGATTATTTCAGACATGGGAAGAAAGGAAAGGCAATATAGCCAGTTGAAATTGCAATAGAGTAATTAGAAGTGCTCAGTCTACGGAGGCTCAGGTGGCTGAGTCACACCTGGAGAATGGATAATGGCAGAGTATCTAAGGACATCCTCTGTGGTGAATTAAAGACGGGTAGAAGATGTCGAGGCCGGCCTCTACTGCAATATAAACCTGCCCAAACAGACATGAATGATACGGGTATTGAGGTGGACTCGTGGGAACAAAACGTCAGGGACCGTGAAATTGACTGAGAATGGAGGAAAAAATTATTGCAGAAAGGTTGAGAGCTGACCGTCTGAGAAGAAACAGAGTAAACAAAAATGTTAACAACAGCATTCCTGAAATCCCATGCTATAATTGTGGAAGACTTCTCTTAACGTGGGCAGGTCATGCTAGTCGCACTTGCCATCGCTAAGGGTTGTGAGTCCCGTGCCTCCTCAAAGCGCAATATAAGACTATCTCTGGAAAGACGGAAAGGTGCCAATCAATCAGATCAATCAGAACTGCTGAGAGAATTTGGAACATAAATGTGAACTAAACTGACAAATGATATGTACAGCAGTGAAAATATTCATAGTGATAGTATGTGATGATTGTAATAAACGATAAAAATGGCAACTCCTTGACAGAAAGCAAAGAAATACTTGAAAGATGGAAGGAGTATTGTAGAGAAATGTACAAAGATTCCAAAAACATGCCAGATAGTACCAAAGAAATCAAAGAAAAAGAACCTGAACCTCTATTAGAGGAAGTAAGAATAGCAATAAAAAAACCTGAGATCAGGTAAATCTCCAGGATGTGTCGACTTACCAGCAGAGTTTATTCAAGCTTGAGGAGAGGCCAGCGTCATTCTATACCATGCACTATGTGTGAAAATCTGCAACGGTGCTGACTTGACCAAAGCGTATAAAAGATCAATATTTATCCCCTCCCAAAAAAAAAAGGAAATCTCAAATTTTGTAACAATTATCGTACTATAGCTCTAATTAGTCATGCCAGCAAAATCCTTCTGCATGTCATTCTGAGGAGGATTGAGAATAAATTGGATAATGAACTACAAGAAACACAAGCGGGCTTTAGACGTGGCAATGAAACAAGAGACCATATTTTCAATATGAGAATCATCATAGAAGAGTGTAAAGAATACATGATAGATCTTCATACTTGTTTCGTAGACTACAGCAAGGCATTTGATTGTGTACAGCACCACAAAACTACGGCAAGTAATGAGAGGAATGAGATTTCCAAATCA